TGAAACAAAAATTATTTCGAAGTTCGAATCTATCTATCTATCTATCTATCTATCTATCTATCTATCTATCTATCTATCTATCTATCTATCTATCTATCTATCTATCTATCTATCTATTTACCCATCCATCCAGGTTTATGCACGGCTGACAACACAGAGAAGCATGTTGTCCGCAAAGCCTTCCTCACGGCTAGCATCGACGCCTACTGCTCGGACACAAGGCACATAGAGGACAAACTGGGCTCAGAGATTATAGACACAGTCAGTAGGCTCATTGACAAGGAAGGTGACATTGACCCCCACGAACCTCTCAAGGCCGCTTGCCTCAACATCATTTTTAGGTGTGTCGGTAGCTTATAGAATCTTAATTTATTAATTGTATTGTTTGTAGTTCAGTTTGGGTGCTGCTGATACAGTTGAGCCACTCTCTTACTTTCTCCATCCCTCCCCCCTCTCTATCGCCCTCTCTTTCTTTCTTCCCCCTTAGCTCTCTTACTCCCTGTCTGTCTGTCTGTATATCTGTCTGTCTGTCCCCCCCCCTCTCTCCCTCACCCCCTTTCTCTTTTTCCAAAATCCCGATATTGCAGCTGTGAGTGCTGTTTCCACTGTTACTGTCCCTGTTGATCTCAGTATCTTACATTAATACTGAATTTCATAAATATTGACTAGTTGCACTCTTTCAACATCTAATAAGCAATATGAAATATAAATTCTTTTTTTGTTTTTTGGTAGGAATGCGAATATGTCTCAAGCAACATCGGTTGCTCTGTTACTTTGTGCCAGGTGCGGATAGGCATGGGTCAAGTCCCCAATTTCTAAATTCGAATTATGGGTGGTTGGCAGACGTCTGGGGTGGTTCGCTCCTTCTTCCCTACCAAACATCTATTGTCCTTATCTCTCTTTCTTTTCTTTAAATTTTACTCTGTAGTATTAACTCTAATCTCTCGGCACTTAGGTGACCTATTTTGTTGCAGCGTGCCGCAAAATTCCTACTGAAACTAGATCTACATTATACTTGTTTATCAGTTTACTCTTAGAGTTGATAACGGTGATAACCCTGTAAATTTGGTTGTACATGTACTAATGAATTGACTGGCATAGGCACAACTAAGTTTCATATCCTTTTCCATTTCCCAGTTGCAAACCACAGCACACGATTTTAAGCAGAACTGTAATATCAAAACTTCCTGTCAGCTCTTTAAAATCGGGCCACATCATGTTGTTTTGAAGTTAGTTAGTCTGCAGTCGCCAAACATCATGTTTAATTCCCAGTTTGTATTCTTATTTCACTCAAAAAAGCAATTTAAAAAACCCAAACAGAAAGAAAAAAAAAAAAAAACGACTTTAAATGGACTGTACCTCTTTCACCATATTTTCTACAATTTTGAATGGATTGTGCACCTCACAACCAGTGTCTATGCTACTTCTTGTCAACTTTTTTAAAATAGCCAACGCCCGCTTTTTCTACATTTAAGATGTTAACATCGCTCCGTACTCCGTACTATCCACCTAAATGAGCTTCCAAGAAGAACATTCAATAACAATTATTTGTCACAAACTAGGTGATCACCCCCCACCCCATTTTTAAAAAAATACCAAATTGTTCGACACAATAGTGAACAATATCACAACCAGGGCCTCAAAGTCTTTTTGAAGGATGCCCTGTTCGCCAAATCATCATAAAAATGCATTACTGGTCAAATTTCCCAGGAAAAAAGCAAACCGAAGTAACATCAGCAACAACTTCGACCTACTTTCTCCTTTAAACAAATCAAAATCAATGAGCCCAATGTATAATGGAATTTAGTTAAAAGATCTTTACCAATGGAGCGCTACCTCTTCTGCAGTATTTGGCTGGAAGGTCTTGTTGATGAAACTCATCATGCAGAAGAGTTAACGCTCAGATGCTACTGGATCGCTAACATGAAACTAAAGCACCTTCTTATTTTTTACTTCGAAAAAAAAAATCCCTTTTATTTTTTCAAATTTGTCTACTTTTCCTTTCTCCACTACCCTTAACCCTCTTTCCCACCCAAAAGTGAAACCCAAAAAGTAACAATTAACCCCCTCTCCCCTTTACCCTTTTAAAATATCACCCTCCTTTAAAAAGAAGAAAAAAAAAAAAAAAGAAGAAAAAAATAGGTAAACGATCCTATCTATCTGATAACCCCCATTTCTTGCTCCCAGGTTGGTATTCAACCAGCAGTTTGACCCGCAGGGTGGCCTGATGCGAGAGACTCTAACTACCCTGGACAACCGAGTGGACATGTTGGCAGTGAACCCGATTGACCTTTGTCCACTCTGGAAGCTCTTCAACACAGACGAGCACGCCTCGCTGGTGCAGGTAAATTAATTAATGTTGTGCGTCGCGGGGGAAATCAGGCGCTCACCAAAATAATGAAATCGAAGAAACCGGCATTTTCTGGGCGGTCTGGTAATTTTTAATGAATTTTTTTGTATAGCTCAATATATTTTAGGTCCATAAATAAGACCCCCCCCC